GCTCCAGTGGGTGGTGGGAATCAAAATGTAAATATTGATCTGTGTGAGTGGGTTTTCTGTAAACTTCAATGTTAAGCCTTCTGTCTTCCTTAACGTGTACTGCACAGTCCAGGATGGCTACACTATTTTTCTTAACATCTTCCCACGTGGAATTGATGTATCTGTCCAGAGACTTGATATGTTTGGTGAATGCTTCCAATTCCTGTATTTTGATCTTGACCCAACTATCACCCACATACCTATACCAGTGAGTGGGTGGAATTGCTGTGAAGAAGTCTAGGGCTTTGGTTTCTACCTCTTCCATGTAGAGATTGGCCACAATGGGGGACACAGGTGAACCCATGCCACAGCCGTGTTTTTGTCTGTAGAAACCTTCACTGTATTTAAAATACAGTTGTATTTGTAAGTTTACACACCCTGGCAGAATTTATGATTTCTTGGCCATTTTTCAGATAATATGAATGAGAACACAAAAACTTTTCTTTCACTCATGGTTAGTGGTTGGCTGAAGCCATTTATTATCAATCAACTGTGTTTACTCTTTTTAAATTGTAATGACAACAGAAACTACCCAAATGACCCTGATCGAAAGTTTACATACCCCAGTTCTTAATATGGTGTATTGCTCCTTTCAACATCAATGATGGCTTGAAGTCTTTTGTGGTATGTGTGGATGAGGCTCTTTATCTTCTCAGATGGTAAAGCTGCCCATTCTTCCTGGCAAAAAGCCTCCAGTTCCTGTAAATTCTTGGGCTGTCTTGGATGAACTGCACGTTTGAGTTGTCCCCAGAGTGGCTCAATGATATTGAGGTCAGGAGACTGAGATGGCCACTCCAGAACCTTCACTTTAGTCTGCTGTAGCCAATGACAGGTCGATTTGGCCTTGTGTTCATTGTCATGTTGGACTTTGGATCATTGACTAGGATCATTGTCATGTTGGAATGTCCAACTACGTCCCATGCACAGCTTCCAGGCTGATCAATGCAAATTTTCCTTCAGTATCTTTTGATAACATACTGCATTTATGTTGCCATCAATTCTGACCAAATTTCCTGTGCCTTTGTAGCTCACACATCCCCAAAACATCAGCGATCCACCTCTGTGTTTCACAGTAGGAATGGTGCACTTTTCATCATAGGTCTTGTTGACTCTTCTCCAAATGTAGCGTTTATAGTTGTGGCCAAAAAGCTCAATTTTGGTCTCATCACTCCAAATGACATTGTGCCAGAAGGTTTGAGGCTTGTCTCTGTGCTGTTTGGTGTACTGTAAGTGGGATACTTTGTGGCATTTGTGTAGTAATGGCTTTCTTCTGGAGACTCGACCATGCAGCCCATCTTTCTTCCAGTGCCTCCTTATTGTGCATCTTGAAACAGCCACACTGCATGTTTTCAGAAAGACCTGTATTTCACCTGAAGTTATTTGTGGGTTTTTCTTTGCATCCCGAACAATTTTCCTGGCAGTTGTGGTTGAAATTTTAGTTGGTCTACCTGACTGTGGTTTGGTTTCAACAGAACCCCTCATTTTCCACTTCTTGATTAGTGTTTGAACACTGCTGATTGGCATTCTCAATTCCTTGGATATCTTTTTATATCCCTTTCCTGTTTTATACAGTTGAACTACCTTTTCCCGCAGATCCTTTGACAATTCTTTTGCTTTCCCCATGACTCATAAGCCAGAAACGTCAGTGCAGCATTGGATGAAAGATGCAAAGGTCTGTCAGGAGTCCAGGAACTCATTGACCCTTTATACACACACACTAATTACAAGCAAACAGATCACAGGTGAGGATGGTTACCTTTAATAGCCATTCAAACCCCTTTGTGCCAACCTGTGTGCATGTTATCAGGCTAAAATCACCAGGGTATGTAAACTTTTGATCAGGGTCATTTGGGTAGTTTCTGTTGTCATTATGGTTTAAAAAGAGTAAACATAGTTGATTGATAATAAATGGCTTCAGCCATACACTAACCATGAGTGAAAGAAAAGTTTGTGTGTTATCATTCATATTCCCTGAAAAATGGCCAAGAAATCATGAATTCTGCCAGGGTATGTAAACATATGAGCACAACTGTAGGTAGTGGTCAAGCAGAGGTCCAGCATGGCACATATGTGGTCTGGGCTGAGGTTGGTTCTGTCACCTAAGGTGCTGTCTTGTAGCAGTCGTTTTTTGACTACCATGACAGCTTTGGTAGTTAGAATGCAGGTGAAGAGGGAAGTCACATTATAGGAAACCATGGTCTCACCCATCACATCAACAATTCACAGGACTTCGCCAGCAAGGTTTGGATACTAAAACTGGACCTGGATGAGACCATGGTTTGAAAGAGGGGTCAAAGAGGCCATCTATGTCAAAACTGAAAAGCCCTCTCTCAACACAGGGGGAGGGATATGACATCTATCTCCAGTCTACAACACAGTCCTTTCAACAGTTTCAAGGCTCCACATCCATTTGCACCACTCAGGTGACCCCAATGACACAGATAAAGAGATAAACCTCCAGGTGGCCTTAACGACTATAACAGGGGTGTCAAACTCAATTTCATTGAGGACCACATCAGCATTATGATTGCCCTCAAAGGGCCAGTGGCATGTAAGACTATGACGATTCACAGTGGCCAGGTGGGTATGGCTGGGTAGGTGTGGCTGGGTGGTCAGCCGTGGCTGACCAGGGACGAAACAAAGTGCACTGGCTAACTTGATATGGGGACAATTTGGTGCCCAAGCTCCTTGCCTCCCCAAACTGCTGGCAGCCAAGCATGTGCATGCGTGCACACACACACTCTGGAAAAGCTGTAATTGCTTTGTTTTCTGACAGTCCCCTATTCAAACCACAACTTTCTGAAGGTACACTATGTTTTTGAGATTGGAATTGTGGAGCAGTTCTTAGAGAGTTGTAATCTTCATTACTGCTAAACTCTGGTACATGAATTTGTTCTGCTCCAAAAATTAAAGCATTTGATACTGAAAACATGATGACAGCATTTAGTCAGGTTTTCAGGACTGCATGAAGCTTCTTCATGCAGTCCTCAAAACATACCATCCAACAACATACAATTGTTGGAATTAGGTATGTCTAGTTTAATGAAAAGAAGGACTAGGGTGACATGATAGCAGTCTTCCAATATCTGAGGGGTTGCCACAAAGAAGAGGGAGTCAGGCTATTCTCCAAAGCACCTGAGGGCAGGACAAGAAGCAATGGATGGAAACTAATCAAGGAGACAAGCAACCTAGAACTAAGAAGAAATTTCCTGACACTCAGAACAATTAATCAGTGAAACAACTTGCCTCCAGAGGTTGTGAATGCTCCAACACTGGAAGTTTTTAAGAAGAGATTGGATAACCATTTGTCTGAAATGGTATAAGGCAGGGCTGTAAAACTCCTGGCCCATGGGCCAGATGCATCACGTGCTGGCCACGCCCACATCCAGTTTAGCGAAGGGGAAAAAAGTCCCAATATGTCACGTGACAACGCTGTGATGTGAGTTTGATACCCCTGGTATAGGGTTTCCTGCCTAAGTAGGGGGTTGGACTAGAGGTAAGGTGAGGTCTATTCTATTCTCTATTCTAATTCTATTCTATTCTTCATGGGCAACTATTTATTTCAAGAGATTCTCTAGATTATTCTGTTCAGAAATGTCTGGTATTTCCTCATCACTGCAATCAAAAATTGTCTGAAATTCACTCACATTTCTGAAACATTTGAGGGTTTTTTTCTTCCCCGAGGGGGCACCCGGCCGCACTTACCTCAAGGCTGCTGCTGCTGTGCTCGCTTTCCTTGGCAAGGTTGCTCATGGTGGGTGCGGGAGGGCAAAGTGCATGGGTCAGAGGGAGGCCCACTCCCTCTCCATGTGAGGAAACCCGGCTTTGTAAGCAAAGTGTCGTCAGTGATAGGATGGGAGACCACCAGCAGAGGCTGCCTCCCTCCCTCTCTTTCCAATCTCCCTCCTTCCTTCCCTCACTCTCATTCTCATTCTTATTCCCATTCCCTTCCTTCCTCTGTCCCTCCCATTCCCATCTCCCTCCCTCCCTCCTTCCTTACTTGCCTCCCTCTCATTCTCATTTCCATTCCCTCCCTCCCTCCCTCCAGGTTGCAGCGCTGCCGGTGGCTGTGGCTTTCCACTTGGGGGCAGGAGGCTGGGTGGGGGCAGAAGTTGTCCCAGTGAAAGGGAAGTGCTTGATGGTGGAGACGCTGGTGGCCGAACCTCTGCTGCTGCTGTGGCAGCTTCTGAGCATTGCATATGGAAAAGCGTCCTGGGCGAATCAGGTGTGAGGGCCAAGTGCCTGAGATGGAGGCTGGCAGGCTGGCCGTCTGGCAGAGAGGCAGCAGGCTGCGTGGGGCTCAGTTGAGCAAAAGCAGCTGCGGCAACCAAGGCGCTCACCACCTCCTGGGCGTGCCCCCAGGGGGAGTGCCCCCAGCTGGGCTGGGGTGGGCCAGGGCCAAGGTTACGAGAGCTGGCCCCTTGTTGTCTCCAGGGCAGCTGCACAGGCCACATCAAACCACACTGTGGGCCAGAACTGGCCCATGGGCCTTGAGTTTAACATGTCTGCACTAAAAGAATGCAAATGACTAGCTGTCTGCAAGGAGTATAAATGCAGGCCCCGTCAGTCAAGGAATTTTGGCTGGCAGGGTCCAGAAGAGCTTTTTCTACCGTAGCTCCTGCCCTTTGGAATACTGTACCCCCAAAGTGAGATCTGTTCCCACCCTTCTGACCTTCTGTAAGGGCCTGAAGACCTGCCTCTGCCAGTTGGCCTGGGGTCCCAATGAGGGAGTATCACATTGGAAGTGGTTGATAGATTAAGGGATGATCCCACTTTCCACCCCCTGCACATCTTTCTCCCTCCCTCCTCTACTTTTAATTGTAATTTGTATTTTTATTCGTATCAGAAATATTTATTTTTACAGTTTTGTAAGCCGCGCAGTCACCTTGAGGCGAGATGGGCAGCAAATAAATCATGCACATACACACAGAGAGTATATTACATGATTTGCCATTACTTACATCGCAGCACTTCAACAATCAAATCCCTATCTGTGCTCAGCTTCCTGACGTGATCAAGATTAGCTATTGTCATTATTGGCACATACTGATCACTGTCCATCTGAGATATAAGGTACATGTCACTGGCAAGATTCTCTCTGTTGAAGAAAAAACATTACTGCAAAATTAATTCTCCATGCAATTAGTACACTGGCCTTCATAGTATTGCATTGGCCTTCAAGATTATTCCTAAATATTAAGATACAATCATGGTTTTACTTTAAAATGCCTTTGTTTCCAGTGAGATTAAACAATTACAACCAGCCTTGGTTTTCTCATCTCTCAGATTGTAAAGTCCTGATTTTGTTGCACAATTTGACACAGAAAGCCAAAAGCAGCCCATTTTTAGATGCTTTTAAAAAGCAGTAAATTGGATAATATACCAAACTTATGGCCAGCCGTGAAGGTGGCTGGTGGGTTAGATTTGCTTCAACCAATTTTGTTTAAAGCTACAACTTTATATTAAATGAGTAAACAGTAACTAGGTTACATGAGGAGTGTTGGAAAATTACTGCTACAGTATATACAAGAATTCCAAATGTCTGGCACCTTACATTCAATGATAAACAAAAGAAGGTACAATTATTGAAACATTCCTTTTTAATGCAGAGGCCAGCATACAATTGACTTGCATCTGTTCTCAACGATTAATTTTTCTAAACCCCCGAAATAACAAACTTTCCTGGAATAGAGAACCCATGGAACACCTAGCAAATGGCTGGCAGCTTGTGAAATTGCCTTCTTTTGTGTTTCAGTTGAGGAAATCAAGAAAAGAAAATTAAACAGTTAAGGAAAATAAAATCTTGGCTATTGTATTATTGTCAGCTGGATCTCCAGCATCATTTCAAACCTTTGATGCTTGCTTGATATAGTAAAAAAAAAAAGGGGGGGCTGGTATTTGGTTTTGGGAAGTGAGCTGGTGTAATGAAGGTCCATGTGAACTAAAAGGGAGGTTTGCTCTCAAGTATTATTACGCTGCCGAATGGAGTTGTTTACACCCAGTCAAGGCCAACCGTCCTAGAACTCCAGATGGACGAAAACACCTGAAGATGTGCTCCACATGACACTATGCAGAACGTGGATTGGACATTCAGCCTAGGTTCCTGGGAGGGGGGATTTGGGGAAACTTTCAATATGTAATTTTTGCGCCTTTTGGATCAGATCTTGCTTTCCTTTTGCTGCTATCATTTTAAACTCAGTAAAAGTACCTCTTCTCTACTTCAATGGAGTTGGGGGTTTTCTTTCTTGGGTTTTGAACAGAGACAGGCCTGACACCTTCCCTCAGATTTTCATGCTATAAAATTAACATATATATATCCCTGCCCAATCATGAATTTCTTTGCAGTCCAGAGGCCATATTGGTTATGACATTCATGATTATTCCACCCTAATTAACATTTAATCTATCCTCTTAATAACAATAACAGGAGGCTCAACTAGATCATATCCATTACATGCTTACCTTGATAAGCAGAACTCCAGTGTTTTTTTAAGCACTTCTCCTAAATCTTCTTGACCTTCTGGCCGAAGGTCTTCTTTATTTCCTAGAACGAAAAACAAGAAATAAAGACAAAAACAAATGCTATATAATTCCTCATAAAAGTAGCAATTTATGTGCCTAGATCAGAGGTTCTCAACCTTAGCAACTTTAAGCTGTGTGGATTTCAACTCCCAGAATTTTGGGCCTTGAGGTTCACTCATCTTAAGTTGCTATGGTTGAGAAACACTGGCCTAGATAGTTTACCCATTATGGAATGTGGTGCTTTCACTACAGTCAAATCCATGAAGGGGTTTTTTGGGGGGTGGGGTGGTGGTGTCAGTATAGAAATTGTTTACCATTTGTTTCTTCTTATTTTTAAATTTCCTACTCAGACTCTCCAGGAAATCCCCTATCCAAGCATTAACCAGATGTAAACTGGCTCAGATTTTTGAGATAAGTCAAGATAGCTGATCTTAGGATCAGATGGTGGCATCACCAGGTGGAATCAGCAAATGTCAATGGTGTTAAGCTACACTTAAGAGGTAATTATGGACCATCCTACCTTTTTAGAAATACTAGATAAAAGAATGACCTAAATTGAACAGTCAAGCAAAAATATATTTAAGAGTCAATACACAATCTACTTATGGTTTCTTTTCAAATTAATGAATAAATAAGTACATTTTTCAATTGGCATTATGTATCTGAAAACAATCAAAGGTCTCAAATACTCAGCTGTTGCCATTCTGAATGCTTTTATATACAGTATATGTAATATTGTAGCAGCAGCACCTGAAATTTGTACAGAGGAATGTTTGACATGATTGAAAAAATTGTGTCAGGACTCCTGTATGCAGGAGTGGGATTCTACCGGTTTGGGCAAACCAGATGTTACATTTACATCTGGTTTGCTGAACCGGTAGTTGAACCAACAAGCTGGCCCCGCCCACTCCTCTCCTCCCCTCCCCTCCCCTCCCCAGAGTCTCCACGCAGCCTTTTTGGATGCAGGTAAGTGCAGGGTCCGTGCAGAGGCTCTGGGAGGGCGAAAAACGGGCCTTCTGGAAGTCCGGAAACTGGCCTGTTTCCACCTTCCGGAGGGCCTCCGGACCCCGGGGAAGGCAGTTTTCGCCCTCCCAGAGGCCCGTGGGAAGCCTCTGTACCCTGGGGAAGGCGAAAAATGGCCCTCCTGGAAGTTCTGGTAGGCCACGTCCACCATGGCCACGCCCACCCAGCAACCAGGCAGTGAACTGGTTGCTGGGATTTTTGAATCCCACCCCTGCCTGTATGTGTCTCATTGGGAGGAATTGGGTCAAGAAAGTGCCTCCCTATAAGTTCTCAGAGTATATCTTTAATGATGCATGTAGCTTGCTTTACAGGTAGTCCTCAACTTATGATCACAATTGAACCCAAAATTGGTGATCACATGACCCTGGGACACTGCAACTATCATAAATACATGTCATTTGCCAAACACCCAAATTTTGATCATGTGAATGCTGCAATGGTCATGTGAAAACCAGTCATAAGTCACTTTTTTTCAGTGCCATTGTAACTTTGGTCATTAAACAAATGGTTGCAAGTTGAAGACTACCTGTAGTTTGGCAAGATTTCTGTCTATAGGTAAGGAACAATAAAAGAAAATGCTTAGGAAAAACTCTGTGTGTCTTTCTTGGTCTTTGGGTCTGATAAGATCACCCAATTCAGTTTTTCTTGGAACAGAATTTTTAAAGTACATAAGATTGTCAAAGGTATAAATTCATTGTAGAACTGAAATTAGCAGTATAACAGAATATGTCGATCCACAATCTTCCTTCATATCTACCACCAGAAATCCAAACTCCCAATATTGTCTAGAAGGCAAAAGCTTTCCACCCAGACTGACTCTGGGTGGCTGTGTTATGCTGAAAGGGGGTGGTGAATGTTCACATTTTTAAATACTTTAGCTATGCACTCAGCTTGATACTGAAATGGAAGATGACAGGAAGCAAATTGTTCTTACAGTATGTATATAAGCTGGACAAATATAACAGGACAAGCCAGAATTGCAATTAGGTGAACTGTACACATACAGGTGTGCTGATAAAATTATCAATCTGCACTTCCTATTTGAGGCCCTACATCAGGAGTGTCAAACTCAAGGCAGTGCCTCCTCGCTTAGTTGAAGGCTTCATTCAGCCTTCAAACAGTAAGGCTGGCACACACCAGTGAGCAGCACACCAGGGCCATGGCCGGCATTGGTTTCTTACACCTGGCTGATTCTGATTCCATGGCTGGCCTTACTGTTCGAAGGCTGAACGATGCCTTCAACTGAGCGAGGAGGCACTGCGGGGCCAGGCCCTCACACCCGCGTCCAGCCTGCTGGAGTTCACCACATTGGGGCAGGAATGAGACCATCCCACGAAGCCCGCCGCCTCTTGAGCAGAGAGGATGACGATGACGAAGACGAGAAGAATGGCAAGGTTTTGCATCAGCCAGCTCGCCAGGCAGGGAGCAGGTCAGGCAGTGGTGGCTGGCTGGGAGCAGGGCGCAGCCAGCAGCTTCAGTGCCCCGACTGAAGCTGGTGCTCGGCACATCATGGGAGAAATGAGAAGCTCTGTTGTCCTGCAGAACCCACTGCCGCTTGAGTGGGAAGGACGAGGAGAAGAATGGCAAGACTCAGGGAGTAGGTCAGGTGGAGCTGGCTGGCTGGGGAGGGGGGGATCGTGGCTGCTAAGATGGCTCTTGCCACCTCCGCCAGCAGCTTCGGTGCCCCAGCAGAAGCACAGATCTGTCTCTCTCATACACACACACACACACACACACACACACGTTAGATTGGATTGCTCACTCTCTGTCTCTCTCCAAGTGCCCCATGTGCACACAGATACCCCATTTGCATCTCATTAAGTAGTTAAGTGGAAAGTAGTTGGGGGGGAGGAGCAGGAGACCGGCAAACACTTTTTCCGCCAAGAATGAAAGTTTCTGGGTCCCCGACTCTCTGCAAAAGAGGATGGGTGCCTGAACCTGCGCAATATTATGGCACTCAGGAGCATCCATTCTCGGCACGAAAAGCATTTCCAAGCCAACTCTCCTCTCAGATGTTTGCAAGGTAAAGTAAGTCTGTGTGGCAGGAAGGGAGGGAAAAGCATGAGGTATCTTAGTGGGTCAGGAAGGCCTTGTGGATTTGTTCTATCACTAGTCTCCCCCATGGCCTTCCCCACCCTGAGACACCTCACGTACACTTAACAAATAGCACATTGGTATTCTTGAATTGTGAGCTCTTGGGAAAGTATCCCCTCCTTGTGTGTTGCAAACAGCCATTTCCAGTGAGGAAAACAGGACAAAGCGTGCGGGAAAATATTTTCCTTTGCTATATTTCCAGTCTGAATTAGACTATGGCAGGGTTCCTACAGGAGAGCCCTTTTAAGGATTATGTATATAGAAAAGCAACTAACTTACCCCCATGAAATGCAAGATTGGGATAAACTGAGTTTGGTTTGTTATCAGTCTTTTAAGTGGCCCCAAACTACTAGCAAAAGTGGCATTTGATCACAAGGCAAGTAGGCATTGAGAAATGTTCCCCCTTTTGCATTTGAGCATCCAAGAAGGGACAGGAAAGACAAAGAAAAAGAAGGAAAGATGGCAAGAGAGCAAGGAAGGAAAAAGAAGGAAAGAGGGGAAGGAAGAAGAAAGAAAGGGGAAGAAAAAGAAGGGGAAAAGGAAGGAAAGAAGCAGATTATAACGAGAGAGAGAGAGTGAGGGTCTGAGGTAAATGCTGCCTTCGCACTTGGCTACCAGCAGCCCTGCTGCCTTTTGCCAGGGTGGGATTCTACCAGTTCAGACTGGTTCGGTAGAACCGGTTGTTATGATTCTGCAGTTTGGAGAACCGGTAAACCGCACCCCTGGCTGGCCCCACCCCTTCCTGCCTGCCCACTCGCCCCGCCCCGCCCAGTTATTCCTCATCTCACCCGCCATCGCTAACCTACCTTCGCCCGCCATCGCTGCCTGCTTTCCACTGCGGCCCTGATCTCCCTGGGTAAGTGTGCCTACAAGCAAGCCCCGGTTGAGTCAACTCCTGGGCCAGCCTAAGCCGCTGTGCTGTCCCTCCCCCTCCCATCCCCGGGCTTGCCTGGCTTGCTTCTCTGTGACCTAGCGAGCTAGCTGCGGCCCCCCCCCCCCCGCAAGGCCATGGCAGTGCTGGCCGGGAGATAAGGGAACGTTCTCCTTCTCCCCTGGCCACGAAGAAGCCACGGGGCCATGGCTGTGCTGGCTGGGAGAGAAAGGAATGTTCTCCTTCTTCCACTGGTGCTGCTGGATCCGGCCAGTGGCACGCCCTGGTGTGCTCTGCTGCTGCTGCCGCCGAAGCTACCCAAGGAAATTTCCCACCACCGGTGTGTTTCCAGGACGTACTGCCACCTCTCCCCCCTGTGTGTGTCTCCCTCAAAGCCGCGGCTGGGCCAAGCCAGCAAGCTCTCCTTGGCGCTCTTTGCTACTTCTTTCATTTCTTCATTTTGGAATCCAGACTGGCTGAACAACAATCGCCAGCCGCGGTGGAAGTGTTCCTTCAGGTGACCCTTCTTCTCCTCCTCCTTCTCTCGTGACCAGCAGCTGTGGTGGGGCGAGGGGGTACACATGCATGGGGAAACGCTCCTCAAGCAAGTGCCAAAGCACAGAAAAACCGGGCACGGGGTGGGCAGCTGCTCGCTTGAGGAGCGTCCCCACTCGTGTGCACCCCACCACAGCCGCCGGTCACAAGAGGAGGAGGAGGAGAAGGGTCGCCCGAAGGGACGCTTCCACCGTGGCTGGTGATCATTGTTCAGCCAGTCTGGATTCCAAAAAGAAGAAATGAAAGAAGTAGCGAAGAGCGCCAAGGAATGCTTGCTGACTTGGCCCAGCCATTTCTTTGAGACACACACACACACACACACACACACACACACACACACAGAGGGGGGGAGAGAGGGGAAGATAGGGAGAGGGGCAGAGAGACACACACACAGAGATGCGGGGGAGAGAACCATAGAGAGACAGAGAGAGAGTGGGAAAGAGAGAGGGAAAGAGAGAGAAAGAGAGAAAAAGAGGGAA